GTCATGGGGGCCAGGGGGGTGGGGGGGAACCACGCGCCATTGTGCAATGAGAAATCATGAAGATGGAGATGGGCCAGGAAGAGGCCCCGTCTGCCTACAGACCGACCCCCTGTCCATAGCCGGGTCCCAGCACAGCCCCTGAGCCACGTGGACAGGTGGCTCTGTCCGCTCCAGCCACGTGGGGACAAAAGGGATCTTTTGCATTGTGGGGATTTTATACATAAATCTATTTTGTCTGTAACGAGCCATTCTCAATAAATGTTTCTCACTGCAACGTGACTGCCCTGCCCGCCTCCGTGAATTCTCTCTGTCCCAGGTGTGGCTGGGCCTGAGTCCCTCCTGATGCTCTGCGAGGCCTGGGCAGGCTGTGCGGGGCGGAAGGGCCCAGGGTCTCAGCTGGCCTGGGGCCTGAGGGCTGCAGGATGGGAGGCCCTGGAGAGGGAGCGGGAGGGGGGGGCACAGGAGGGGACTCAGCCCTTGGACCCTCCACCCGACCGACGGGCAGCTCCCTTAACTGCTAGTGTTCCATTCGGTAAGAATTCTGACAAGGGGCGTGGCTGGCGCCCTGCGTTACCTGCACCTTCAGGCTGCCCGGCTGGGGCTGGGCCGGGACAGGACCTGCTGCCACATCCCTGGAGGCGAGTGACGTGCTCAGAGCCCTTTCTCCTTCCACGGTCCCTGACCCCCGCGCTCTACCCCTGCCTCAGCTGCTTTAGGAAAAGGTCAGGGATCAAGGGGGGCCCAATGCCACACGCACCTGAGTGTTCGGGGGACATTAGGGATGGGAGGGACTCAGACTGTCATGGCTCTGCTGGATGAGTTCCCAAGTCACCATCTGATCCATCGGGGGCAGGGGGGAGGGCGCGGGGGCGTTTCACAGGGGAGGACAAGCTGGGGCCTGCCTTTGGTCCAGGTATTGTGCCTGCATCTGAGCGTGTCCTAGACATGGGTGCTGTCTTCCCAGCTCAGGTGCCAGAGGGGCTGCGCCCCGTCAGGAAGGCCCACACACGTTCCCAGGCTCGTGGGCGTCCCCGTGTTTGCTCCCTGTGGGGAGGTTAGGATTTAGCCCGTGTCCTTTCACCCTGCGATGTCCCCAGCTGGCACTGGGGTATGGCTAGGGTGGCCGTCAGAAGCCTCAGCCCCCGATGCTGACAGCAGGGAGTGCACCCCGCCCGCAGTAGCGGGACTGACAGACCCTGAGACACTCAGGGACTTGGGTCTGGCCAGACCCACCATGTGCAGTCTCCCCGACAGCCACGGGATCCGCTCCTCCCTCCTCCTGCCACTGCTCCCCAGGGGGCCGGCACCTGTTTGGATCTCGGGGAGCGGAGGCAGCATGGCCCCACTGGGCATCCTGCCTGGTCCTTTTAGGTCGGCTCACCCGCAGGCCAGCACCCTGAGCAGCACCCAAACCACGGACTGCACTGCGGGCTGCCCAGCGAGCTGTGGGCCACTCGCTCCCTTTGGGGCCCCACGATCCGTGGCCCCGTTAAGCCATGCGCGTCTCCGGGGCTGGTGCCTGTGCTACCGGGGCCGCTGGCCTTGGGGTCTGGATGTCCTGTTCCCTGACTGTCACCAGGTGCGCTCCTGGTGAAAGGCTTACTGCTGGGCTCTTGTTGAAACTGAACATCTAACCCGTGGAAGCCTGGCTTGTGCAGTGAAAACAGTACATTGGGGCCCGGCCGGCGTGGCTCAGTGGTGAGCGCTGACCTAGGAACCAGGAGGTCACTTTTTCGTTCCCGGTCAGGGCACAGGCCCGGGTTATGGGCTCGATCCCCAGTGTGGAGCGTGCAGGAGGCAGCGGGTCCATGATTCTCTCTCATCCTTGATGTTTCTCTCTCTCCCCCTCTCCCTTCCTCTCTGAAATCAATAAAAATAGATTTTTTTTAAAAAGACAATGGTTCATTAGAGGACAGCGGGCTGGACTCAGGCAATACCCAGCTTTCCCCCCAGAACACCGGGGCCTGGTCCTCGATGGGCCAACCACACGGGAAGCTGTGGGTCCCCGGGCTGGGCTGCTGTGCACACAGAGCTGAAACCGGCGGGTCCCTCCCGCAGGAGGTGGGCTCCGGGGCAGGCGCACAGGCCCGGCCAGCGCTCCAGGGGAAAGCCGGGCAAGTTTTACGACTCCTGGGCTGCGGCCAATGGCCTCATTTTTCCAGTTGCCACTTGGAAAACCTCGAGCCAGCCGATGGAAGACACCCTCTGGGCCCGCGGGCGGTGGGAATAGACTGTGGCTGCCATGACCTGCTGGCTGGCTCGCGTTAGGTGCCCACAGAGCCTGTTTTCTGCAGAGA